TTAGGGTACTATTCAATTTTTTTATTTTTATTTTCATCAGTGCCGCTATTTTTCACATTCCCTTTTTTCCTACACCTCTGTCCCCTTAAATATTAATATATGCTCGTGGTTATCTGCTTGACACAATTGCTAGCAAATGTAGTCTAACACTTATGCACACGCTTCTGCGGTGAAGTGCACATGCAGTTATGCAATCGCGCTTTGTGTCCCTCGCTGCATTGCATACAAATCTATGTCACAAGTAATTTAAAGAATCCCGTCCCATTTAAATACTGAAATTTGATGACGTAAGAAAAAATTTTTGAGAAGTAAAATAAACATGAAAGAAATTTTTAGTTATGAGAAAATAAAAAAAAAATACAAAAATAGTTTTAAGCCTTAACTTTAACTTAAACTTTATAATCTTAGTTTGGTGGGTTATTGTTTTCAAAGTTTTTAAACCAATTTGTAGTTCTTTATTGAATTATTATAATTTTTATATAAAATTTCTGAAAAAATATTAATTTTGTTAACCATTTCCGATGTAAAAACCCAAAAGTAAGTTGCGCGCGTGTTTTATGTTTTCACATTGCAACCCTGGGGTATTACCTTTAATTAACACAAAACCTGCAAGTGACAAAATGACCGCAAGCTCACTCAGCTCACCTCGGCAAAGTGCATTAATTAAAGAAACATGAGGATAAATTTAATTCTGCTTGTGATCAACTCAGACACATACACATACGGATGTAAATCACCATTAACTCGTTTAAATGACATCCTTCATCTTCCTTGCAGAGATGTATCTTGAGCAAGCGAGATACGCACCGATTTTAGTTTCTCTTTCAAGTGAGTAATTTTTGCCGTCTTTTTTTTTGGTGCGTGTGTATGTGAAGCATGTCTTTGTCCCCTTATTCGTCTTCATTTGCCCTTCTTCTTAGTTATTTCAACACGTGCAATTAACATTTTGCATCAAGTTAAATTTTAATATATGTAAGACGGTACGTATATATCTGTAAGATTATTTTTTACTTCAAGGCTACTGGTTTACTCTTAAACCGCTTTTCATGCGAAGATAAGTGCCAGTATGCATATAAAATATATGTATGCATGTAACATCTATGTACATATGATAAAAAATTTATATTAACTTGCATTTAATTAACAAGCTTCTTGAAGTAAAAGAAAAATACTATGATAAGGAGTCGCCTTTACTTTCATCAACGCTCATCAGATTGATCTAGAAAAATGAGTGCAAATCATCTTTCCAAAGTTTAGTCCAGGACTGGTCTTAATTCGGTATAAGTAAATCAGAAACGAATGGAAGAGAACAATTAAATTTGACTCATCTCATCAGAGCCATCTTCACATAGGTTACGTTGGTTTAGTTTGAAGCGATTGCTGCGCAGCTAACACTGGTCTTACTAAGAACTACCACTTACTAGTGGAAGTTGGCAGAGTAATTCACACATCTGCGCTAATTTGCTCAGGTCACGAAAAGTTTTCCAATGCACCCTTCCAGAGTACGGGCATTCGCTAAGGAACTATTTTCAGAATTGTTTTTGCGGCCATCCTTTATAATAATTTTTGATATAAGTATTAAGTAAACTAAAGGCCTGGTTATTTGTATGAATTGAATATTTTGTTATACAACAAAGAAAAATGGTAGAAGTGACAGCTGTTTCGGAAAACACCACATCTCCTCACCACTTTCAGTTTTCCGGTTTTAACTCTTTTCCGGAATTCTTGCAGAAGTCGTTTAGTGGTATGCCCAGCATCTTTGCGTTCCTCCTTAATATAAGCTGGCTAGTAAGAAGACCCATCATTGAGGATATATTCTTTCCAGCAAGTTCTCTTAACCTTCTTTTTCCCATAGTCACTTCACAATAATTGAGACTATTCGACCTTAAGTTGGCATATGCTATACAAATTTACTTTATAGTAACTTAGTGGAAAAAGGCGGCCAGGCTCCTCCATCTCATCCACGAGTGTGTTGCTGTGTTCAAATACCTATTAAATGTTCCAAGATGTCTTAACATTAAATAATCGGCTGTGATCCTTTACCGCTTCTGACTTGATTGTATCAGATTCCACACTTTTTAGTGCTGCATGGCTTTACGAGAAGATAAAGATATAATTCACCGAGAGTATCATTAAACATATAACTGGACTATGCATGTGTTCAATAGACTGGTAAAAACAGGTATAAGTATACTACTTGGAATACTAGTTACATAATATGAGACATACTCGAAGCACAGAATAGTTGGCTCATACAAGCGTTGAACATCAGCATTGGTTGCATTTCCTAATAAGCCCGGACCCGTCCAATTTTTTATCGAGTTGCTACATACAAAATGCTCAAGTGTATAATTATATGAGTTTGTATGCATATATATGCCATATATGTGTGATGTAAACAAGTACACTGAGTCGCCAAGGGAAGCTGGGTCGTAGCAACAATTTTGCTTGAATAGGTGAGTGTAAAAGTGAATAACTGTTTTAAATAATTGGAAAATACAAACACTTTTCATTTACACACAATCATATCTCTATACGTATATAATATATACATGTAGCGGTGCACTCTTTACAGTACAGTATGATGGTATAGTACACTGCCTGACCTTAATTTGCATACTACAACACACCATGGCGTATGAGTAATGTTTACACTTGAGATTTTAAAAACCAATTTTTGTAGATTTGTTAGTAGTAAACAAGCACTGCAACAAATACACGAGTACGCTTGTGTTTATTAAGTGATTGGAACTTTTGCGTATTAAAAAAAAAAAATAAAAAATAAAAATAAAAACTGTTTAGTGAAAAAATTGAGTTTATTTGTATGTACGTGTATGTAATCAATTTACGATATTTCTTGATTGCTTAGAATTTCTCATCATATCAGGGAATGGGAATTCCCATTTTTTAAATTGACAGCTATGCATAAAGCTATTAATATTTAATTTAATCAGCTTATTCTTCCTGCAAAGTGATAGATACTCGTTGAATGTATGAAAAATGACGCATTGGATATCTGCGATTCATAATAATTTCACTTACTCAATACTTGCAGGTATACAATATTTTGATTTGGCAACCCTACATGCAACATACAATTGTCCATGTGCGAAGCAATTCGTAGCGAAATGTATTTAGGCCACTTAATTCCAATGATTGACCTTGAACTTTGCCAATAGTGATTGCAAACTCTAGTCGCGGGAATATCATAAGTCCTCACCTTTGAAACGTCCGGTAAGAACTATTGCTTCTATTAGGTTCCTCTGATTTTTTTTTACGACAAGTCGTGTGCCGTGGTAGAGTGTTAAAAACGGAGTTACTTGACTTGCCACCCCAGCCATGATCCACCCCACCCATGATCCACCCCACCCATGATCCACCCCACCCATGATCCACCCTACCTATGATCCAAATATTGGAAAAAAATAATAAAAAAATAGAACTATTGATAGGATTATTTTTAGCAAGAAGCCACCAAGGTACCGCGTTTCAAGTAAATTTAATTTTTTTTAATAAATCAGTCCCGCGTCCCTTTCCCGGAGAGAAGATTAATTTTCCTGTGTATTTGAGCAAGAAACCATCTGTGAATTGAGTTTCAAGTAAATCGAAATATAAATAAGATTTTTTTCAGATGAGTTAGGCCCTGATCCACTTCCTCACGTCCAAACGGAGAGAATAGCAGTCTTAAAGATATTTACGGGAAACACAATCTATGAAATTAATTTCACATAACTCGAAGAAGATAAGAATAGCTCAGTCCCTGGTCCACTTCCCAATAATTTTTTTTTGTGTAACTATGGAAAGAGTCTGACAGAATCTTAAGTCAGTCGGTTGGAAGCTCTTGGAGATTTTCGAATCTTTACAAAGGACCATAAGATTTTCTCACATATATAAATTTATATATTGGGTGTAGTGAAGAGAAATCCATTATTTTTCCATTAGATGGCGTTGTATTAGTCCGATCGGGTCCGCTAGAAGCTCTTCTGACAGTTTTGGGATTGGTTGATTTTTCTTCGATAAGGGCGAATGCCGGAAATCGCAAGGCTAAAGACATTTGTTTCTTCAAAAGCTGAACTGGACCTGGACTAATTCTCGAAAGGAAACTATAGAACTACTAATATCACTGGCTATTCGCAGACTCCTATGAGTTCAGCTCATCTGTCAAGGGCTAAGAATCCACCTGTCAAGCTGAAAAAAAACCTGGGGCCCATTCAAACCGGTTGGGCCGTACGATATAATCCCTGCTGTGCTACAAACAGCTTAGATATCCACAAGATGACTCCAAACTGTATATGTTGCTGAGTATGATAGATGGGTTTGAATGCTAAGGTTTACTTGATTCCTTCAGTTGTAATGGCGGAATAAAAAAAAAATCACCTGAATTCTGAAACTTTACTTCAAATCCTGTTTGGCTTTTTCGAGAGAAATTAGTGGGGGAGCCTTCCAGAAAATAAATGTTTTATTAAAGATTTAATTTCCATAGCTGTGGGAATGGGGTAGATTGATCTTTCAAAGTTATTATGTGACAGTAAAATGTCATTACTCAAACTAATATTCGGTTAAGAGAGCACAAAAGTAGCAAAAAAATAAGATATTTGCTGCAGACCCTTCCGAAAATATACCCTTATAAAACTTATCTGGAGACAATGGTCTTCCATAGTTGAAGTATTATTTAAATCGTTATTCTTTTGCAGATTTATTTGTTTTTAAATCGATATAGTAAATATATGTGCACCTGTTTAATCGATTTAATTGCTTAATCCATAAGCTGCCACCAAACCCTATCATTTTAAATCAATTTACCCGTATGACAAAGCAAAACAGTAATTAAAAGCCCATAAAGAAAATTCAATCAAACCTTTAGCATTTGTAGGCTTTAGAACAAACTGTTTCTTTAACCTTGAAGAATGGTATAAATTGCAAGACATGGCAATATTTTCTTTCAAAAGAGTACAAATTTATTTAAGGAAACCACATTTTCTCAAGAAAACGGAAGAAAAATGCTCAAAAATGTATTTATCTTTAAGCCCGCTGGCAATGCTGCAGTGGACTCTGTTGCTTGCTTCGACATCTTCTGGATGTGCTGGAAGTTAAATGGCATTGCCGTGAACTCCAACAAATGGTATATAACGCTCTACGACATCGCCGTGAACATCTTCATCACCATCTTCTATCCCATACATCTCACCGTCGGTCTCTTTATGGTGCCCACACTCGCCGACGTGTTCAAGAACTTGGCTATAAATATAACCGACGTCGCTTGCAGCACAAAACATTATCTTTTCCGTTACAAGCTACCCAAGATACGTGAGTTGCAGCGTCTGCTGAAGCAATTGGATGAGCGCGTGCTGGCGCCGAACGAGCGTGAATATTTCGATAAGAAGATACGCCTTGGCGTGCGTAATATTATGTTACTCTTCTGTGCATCGTATGCGGCAGACGCATTGGCCTCCGCCATAGATGTGTTGTCCAAAAACGAGCGCGAGTTGATGTATCCCGCTTGGTTTCCATTCGATTGGTCGGCCAACCGGTTTACTTACTATGGTGCGGTCTTCTATCAGATCTTTGGTGTGTCGCTGCAGATTGTGCAAAATTTGGCACACGACACTTTTGCGCCAGTGGGACTGTGCGTAATTTCAGGTCAAGTGCGATTGCTGGCGATGCGTGTGTCGAAGGTGGGTTATGATGAGTCCAAGTCGCTTGCACAGAATGAACAGGAGCTGAATGAGTGCATTGAGGATCATAAGAAGTTGTTGCGGTTGGTCAAATGCATTTTTCCGGTTAACTTCTTTATGAACTTCTCATTTCTTTTTATTGCAGTATCTTCGATCTGATGCAAGATGTTTTCTGGTACACCCAACTAGTTCAATTCTCCTCAGTCGGTTTGAATATTTGCTTGACTGTGGTGTTTTTGCTACTCTTTGTGGACAATCTCTTTGGCTACGTCTATTATACGGTTTATTTCATCTCAATGGCTATAGAGCTGCTGCCAGCCTGTTATTATGGTAGCAATATGCAGGAGGAGTTTCAAAATCTCCCTTACGCGATCTTTAAATGCAATTGGATACCGCAGCGAAGGGGATTTCAACAGAATCTGCGCATCTTCACGGAGCTCTCGCATAAGCAGCTAACACCAACTGCTGGCGGAATTATTAATATTCACTTGACCTCGTTTGTGGCCACCTGCAAAATGGCTTACTCGCTCTACACGATGTTGATGAATATATAAGCTGAACCACTGCAAATGGTTTCCCGGTATTTTACTAAAGCCAAAGATGATTTATGCTGTTAAACTAAATAGAAAAAAGTTACTTTCTTCGAAGAACTTGAAGTATAAATAAAGAGTAGTTGCTAAAATTAAAAATTAAAGAGCATTTCCAAAAGTAATATTCTCTCGACGATCGTGGACCAAACTCTTCAAGTCGGCAATCATTACCCTCCTGCTAGATCGTGCGAGGGTATGCCATCGTCACATCTAATGAGTTGTTGTTAGGAGTGGTTCAGTGGTTCCGTTTTCGCTTCTGACGACGACCAATGAATGGATAGAGGAGAGTGGTTGGCTGTGGATCATTACTGGAGCTACTATGGATAACTTACATATGCGAATAGATGACTAGGCTTTGGTAGTCAGAAGTTACTGAGGTAAAGAAGAAGGAAGACATTGCTGAACACCATTTAAATAGAATTCAGACTACAGATGTTTTCCACAATTCTTAAGTGCCAAAAAGCTGTATCATCATTGACGCAAATCTTCTGCAAGGCATTGAAAATAGAAATAACCAGGGACACTGTTTGGTTACATTGCGTGTATGTAGTTTTATTGGGTCATATTTTATAGATTGAACAGTATTTTGCAGAGGAAAGAGGTCTGCTTGTATCGAGTCCAGGGCTTATCGTGGTTAGGCTTGTATTCTTGATAGCTCATCGGCCTCGCAATTTCTGGGATGTCTCCATGTTTGGGGGTACAAGTGACGAACAAGTGACCTTTACAGTCGAGAATTCCTTTAAGAACTAGGGATGCTTCTTATTGCCACCTTTGAGATGGTGGGAAAACACTGCAGAAAATTGATGGCGGAATCTATTGTGCAGTTAGTCACAGCTTGAAAGACGCCCTAGAGCTCGGGAAATCACTTGTTCATATCGACTGCAAGTGATTCCGCAATCCATTTTGCTGCTTAGTTTTGAGTCCTCACTGAAGATGCATACGAATCTTTGCTGCAAAACTTTTTCTTTTCCTTTTTCTTTTTCTGGATTGGGTAGAGTACACTTCGGATCCAATCGTTGAGCATGCAATCATCTAACCTTGTCAGCTTTTTATCGCCATGTTTAAATAACTCTGTCGGTAGGCCGTCAGCAGGGCAATCACTACTCGAACTTCGACATGGTTTGGTAAGGGATCGTCTGTTCGTCATCGATTGGGATTTCAGGTGCTCGGTTTTCACTGTCTTTCAGCAGGATGGAGAAGTGTTCCCTTCATAAAGTGAGCTTGCTCTGGGCCTCTGTCACTAAATCACCCCTCGGGGTCTTATAAGAGTTTGGTCAAATTAAAATCATTCAATTAGCTATATAAAAATCTTACTGACGTATCTTTTTAATCCAAAATTTGAATAAACAATGCAGTTTTGAGTTTTTTGTAAATCATTTTTTTGAATCAACTAATTAATCAGAACTACAAAGAATTAAACATTTTATTACTCGTCCCTCATTCTCATATACTCCACCTTACTTCACTTTCTTCCGCCCTTCTACTTCATGGTCTGTATAACGGTGAAGAATGAGTACCCCATCTTACAAGTAGCAAAAAATGAGTCCAAATTAATGCGGATCATGCCGCCAGCATACATGGTCACCTCACGCAAGGTCATCTCTGTGAAACTCACTACATTTCGTCGAAATGGACGTGGCTGCGTCGGCCAGTTACTGCTGAAAATTGCATAGGACAAATCGTGGAACTCACACTCCAACATACTGCCGAAATAGCAGCAGGGAAACAGCTCAATCATAATCGCCGTTATGTGTATGGTGTAGTAGACGTAGGCGAAATAATTATCAGCGAAGAAAAGCAGGTAAACGAGACCGATGCAGAGATTAATCCCAACGGCAACGAATTGTACCAAATAACTTAAGGAGGCGATGCGTTCGACGGTCTTTGAAGTGCTGGGGAAAGTTGAAGAAAAAACACAGACATTTTTACTAATTAAACTGCAAAGCTACTTAGAAGCGTTAATTTCATATTTTTATCCATTTACATTGCTGTATTCTGACATTTTTCAAATTTTACTGTCAAGTTAAACTATTTTTGTGTAAGTTAAAAGTCAGGCATTTGAGAAAATGGATCGCTAAAGAACCACATAATGCGTTTAAACTGCTGAAACCTTATACAACAATAGTGATTCCGAGTGATGGAAAGGAGTCCACTTTTCGGGCTTCAAGAGCAGATTATGGCGCACATTATTGTCCAACTACTCAAGCGATTGGTAAAAGTTAAAGTAATTTGAAGAGACTGAATCGGTAAAGATATTATAAGGTCTGGGGATCATGGCTTTGCTCGTTCCACCTCAGTAAATGAAAGTGTAGCTGAGGCCCCGAATGTGTCTCGGCGTTCTCAATAGCTGGTACTGGTACTTACCGCACATTTGCTCGCATTTTGCACATGGACTTACACCTGCATCCATAAAAAAACTATATAAAGTAAGAAGATGATGCCACATGCCACAGAACTTGAGGAAATATGACTTTATTGCGATAGAAATTTCCCGACCGCGTTACATCTCGTCTTGTCGTTGTCTTGGTCTCAGCCTTAACCGCGCAATATGTGCCAAAAAATGGTCGAAAATTATCTCAAACGGATCGAAATTGCATTTTATTTTACGATATACAGCCAGATAATTTTGATATTGTTTTCTTCTTTAAAAAAAAAACACTTTACACATTCATATTTTTCTGACCATTGGAATATTCCAAAATTATGATTTTCAACTGAATTTTAATAAATTTTTCGAAAATTCAATTGAAACTTTTCAAGGTCAATATATGTTTTAGGAACCCTTTTTTTAATCCTAAACAACTGTTCCTGAAACCACCGCCTCAGTTTTAAGCTTGGAACTTTGAAATCATATGATTATCCTAAGATCTCACCAATGCTCTCCTATAGAGCTTGGAAATTATTTACTTTTAGTTACCTCATTAGTAGCTTATGGTCCTCAATGCACTTGGACAATTCTTCATAGTTACTCTGTGTGTTCTCCTCTGTGTCATGTCCCACACGCGATACCCGATTCGCCAGCAGATGTACATGCCCAGAGATCATACACAGCACCACAGGACCGTAAACGTCGTTGGCGATGTTCTGCACGATTTGCAGCATGACTCCAACGAATTGAAATAAAATAGCCGCAACATAATTCCAAAACGAAGTACGCCATTGTAGTGGCATGAAGGCGGGATATAACAGCTCACCCGTGATCAAGGCAATAAACAAAGCCGTGACACCCACAGAGAAGTAGCAGCGTGTGAAGAAATTGATCATAAAATTACATAGGCGCTCAATTGAACGCTTGTAGTATTCATAATCCTCGCGGACGCGTACACGATCATCGAGTTGAGCCAAGATTTCATTAATCTGTTGCATTTCGGCGAGACGAGAGCGCCACAACAAGTGCTTGAAAGTGCATGAAACACTTGCAATGCCAATGATCAAATTGGTGAAGAACTGCTCCTGATTGCTACTGAAAATAACACCCAACGTCAGGTGAACCGGAAAGGCAAAGGTGATGAAGATATTCATGAGGATGTCGTAGATGATGCGTAGATACTTATTAAATGGCCAGAGAATGATGCCGAGCACACGCCAAGTCATGAAGAGGCGTCTGAAGATGGCTCTAGTCTCTATTTGCCGTTGGAACATTTTCCAATGTTGGATGAGTTCAGCGTTGAAGAGGAGAATTCGTACAAATAACTTAAAGCGCTTCTGCAATGCATTGGCTTTTATAGGGAAAGCGAAATGTCATTAGTGCGATTCCTGCAGCTAAACGATGCAGTGCAACGGTCAAAGCCTATAATTAAAGTGTGTGGGCGTGAAGATATTTACTAATATCCGTTTTGACTTTGAAATTACGCGAATTCATGAGAAAATATGTGGCTAATAGTCCCAACTGGCGTGGAGATTGCTTAATTGCTTATTGCTGAAAGAACATTTGCGGTTCGCCAGCGATTGTAGACACCGAGTGAAGCCACATGATGTTTGCAGTAGCCATGAGAGGGCCCAACTAGTGTATCTGCTGTTCTCTTTGCTGAACTATGTCAATGTCCTCATATATCTCACACAGTTCATCGTTCCATCGTTTGCGGTATTCCATACATTGAGGATCAAAAATCTTTCACAGAATTCTACTCTCGAAAGCCGACTCTTCAAATGTCAACCTCGTGTCACCAATGCACGAATACGCTGACTTCGAAGACCGGGATAAGTCGTAAAATCTTGTAAGACAATGTGTATTGCATATTTGGCTGTAAAATTCTTTATGATCTACAGCATGAGGTTGAAGAAGTCACATTCGTTTGGGAACAAATGGCCAATTCTGAAAAATTTGGGAATTTTTCTGGATTTGGGGCTCCTGAATTCCACCAACAGATCCTCAAAACCATTGCCTGTTGCAAGGCTCCCCAACCCAATGACGTAGCAAGGACCGTTACTAGAAGTGGATGTGCTGTTGATGAAATATGTGACCATAAGAAGTGAAGGAAGATGGATTGACCAGAATCGGAATCTGAAAGCAGCGGATTCATAAAATGGAGATGTATACGATGTATAAGCAAATAATAAGAATTCTTTGGGAGATAAAAAGGGACGAAAAGTATTCTGTTGGTGGCATGATAATGTAGGATCTCAACGGGTTTAGTAACTCAAGATAATTCAAAATACGAGGCTGCAATGCTATTAGACAATTAACCTTTGAACTATCATCAATCAAGCAACATTTTCGACAGCGAAAATAAATTTGGCAGAAAGATCGAATATCGTGCCATTAAAAAGGTCCTTAAGGTCCCAAGCAAAAAAACTCAGTCGGGATCACAATTAACGAGATGCCATTGGTTCACGGCGAATCTTGAAAGCATGAACGGGTGGAAAATCCGCTACAATAATTTTTAAAATCGCGTTCACCTTCGCATGATTAAGACCAGCGTAAAATGGGTACTATGAACGCTCACGCCTCCACAAAACCAACAGGGAACTTAGAACTCTAGATACAATTGCTAACGAAGAAGCTTCGATTAATCAGCATGAACCGAATTCGAAACATAGAAGGAGTAGAGCCCCTCTCAATAAGTTGTAAGTGATCATAGTCAGCTGGGAAACTTAACGCAGAATCCTGTTGGGAAGGGCTATTATTGATTGATTATAGAGGTAAAGGTATTTCTCTAATTAAAAAATACTACCTTTCAATATTAGATCAGATAAAAAATGCCATTAAAAATCAAATACGGGGAAACTTAACGAAAGCTAGTTTTACACGACGTCCAAAAGGGCCGGGCTAAGCTGACTGCCCTACATCTAAGGTTTTGATATTTTGACTTACCGACCCTACAGCCGTGATCTGGCCCAGAGTGAATATAACCTGTTTCTATGAAGAAATCTAGGAGGCAGTTTCGGCATATTTTGAAGATAAGGAGGTTATAAACTAATAAATTGAAAGATCTGAAAATAAATCCGTCTTGCAGATTAATATATTAACGATTAACGATGTTAAGATAAAAAAAAGGAAGGAAGAAAAGTGTATACTTAAACGGGCTTTGAGTAGAAGCGAAGTTGTCTGTAGCACAAATAGAGCATAGATACGAATGAAAATGAAGAAAGGCGACGGCTCTGCTGTCATCCAGATGATACCTGCCGACTTTGCTGATGTTTAATTGTTATTTTCGAAGCCGACTACTTTTCGAGCAACACTTTCCGAACAACGCCAGCACTCAATTGTTTACAAATACCCCAGTAAATACAATAGTTTCTAGATTATTTAAAAGTGTCTTGTTTTGGATTGAATTGTGAACCAAAACAGTAATTATGCTGTGTCTAATTGCACATTTCAGCACCATAATTTCATTGTACGCACGCACAGGCGTCACTAATTGCTCTATAATTTCCATTATTCTTTTTATAAGATTTACGAAATTTATTACTCAACGCCAAACAGGCCAGACAGGAGCCCAAAGATTTCGCTGCAAACATAATTGAAAGAGCTTTCGTCTCGAACTGCCGCAATGTCGAAATCGAAAGTTGACGCTGTGAGTATATTCGTTAGATTGATCTTTTTCTGGCGCGTCTTGGGCTTTACCACCAACTATAACAAGCATTTGGTGCGAATCTATGACGTATTTGTAACGATAATTGTGACACTGGCATTTCCAATGCACCTCATGCTGGGCGTGATTTTCGCCAAAGACAAGGAAACTATATTCATCAACTTGGCCATCGGCATATCGTCAATCGCTTGCACCGCCAAACACTTTATGCTGCGTCCGAGCATTGATAAAATCTTGTATGTGAATAACATACTCCGGCAGCTGGATGAACGCGTGCAAAATGTTGCGGATACGGATTACTACGTCAAACAAATGCGTGAGAAAGCCATCTTTATGATAAACTTTTTCATCGTCGTCTACTTCTCCGTGGCCATCATGGCGTTGCTGTCTGCCTTATGGACCGGCAAAATACTCTATCCGGCTTATGTTTTGCTCGATTGGCAAAGCGGGACCTGGAGGTACTTGGCGGTTATGACTTTCCAAACGTTCGGTTTAAACATGCAAATCGTGCAAAATCTCACGAACGACGCATACGGACCGATGGTGCTGTGTATGCTCTCCGGACATGTGCATTTGCTCTCAAATCGTGTGATACATATCGGACATGATCATGAAACCGATGTGGATGACAATTATGCTGAGTTGGTGCGCAGCATTGAAGACTACAAGTTGCTGATGAGGTGAGCATTTTCTTTCTTATTTCTTATCACTTCAAGTGTATTTTTCTCAATTCTTCACAGCACTACGAAGCTCGTGGAGCGTATCATCTCCTCCAGTTACATGGTGCAGTTCACAGCTGTTGGCGTTAACGTCGTTGTCGGTCTCATTTACCTGCTCTTCTTCGCCGACAATCTCTTCGCTTATTGCTATTATCTTTTTCACATTGTTGCCATCATGATCGAGATATTCCCTTGTTGCTATTACGGCAGCATGGTGCAGGCAGAGTTTCATGCTCTGTCGTATGCCATCTTCCGCAGCAATTGGTTGACTCAACCAAGGAAATTTCGGCGCACGGCCATCACTTTCACGGAGCTGTCGTTGAAGGATGTCACGATGACCGCGGGCGGCATGATGAGAATTCATTTGGACTCGTTCTTCAAGACATGCAAAATGGGCTATTCAATCTTCACCGTTTTGCAAAGTTTGAAGTGAGGAAAGGGTGGCAAATAACTTAAACTGAACTTGAAAAAACTTATAATGGATCCACACTGCACGAAGCTACAATTTCATTTTTTGATTTTAAAATGAAGTAGTAAAACTTGAAGTTCAATCTTAGAGTGGTAATAAATAAATGACGACACATCAAATCACACAACGGAACTTTTATTTTCCACAATATTCGTATATTTCTGAGCGAGTGTGGAGAGGTCTTTTTAGGCGTATTTTGATTCGATGATTCATAAGGAGTGAATGACCTTAATCTGTAAAGCTACATTTTCAATAAACTTTAGTATAGTTTTTGTGATCTTAAGTTCCTCAATGATCTATCGCACAAGTTCCTTCACACTGCCATGTCTTCTCTGAACCAGCAGTAATTTCAGCCTGAAGAACACTGTAACTCTATATGATCTGGTAAGCGAAAGCCAATAATGGTGTCTAATATTATCGTTAAGACCGTTCTTCTTCGATTTTCCACTTTGAAACCGTCCATATGAATGGTAAACCCTGTGTCCTCGTTTACTTTCGCTCTTGACGGGGAAGCAACATTGATGGATCAATTAAAATGTATTTCTAGAGAATTTCAAATAAACAGTAATGTTGGGCAGAAAAGAAAATTCGCTAAAAACGCTAGAAAGTCCATAATTACAGGTGACTAATAGAAAAGATTACCTCGGCTTGGGCGAACACTCCACAGCAAGTTGCATGCAGTATAAGTCAATGGAGCAAGTGATGAGTCACATTCAAACCTTTAACTGAGGCTACCACTTCTGTTTGAGCTATCTAGAAAGAATCTTACAATAATTTATGTATTGTTAGGATCCAGAGAAGAGGGGGTAGCACATCACCTTGAGAGGTACTCTTCGGAAAGCACCTGCACTTCGTTGAAGCGCCCTGCCTTAAACTAAAGACACCTGTTCAATTAATTTCACAAGGTCTCATGAGAAGCGCAGCTATGATCGGGTGTTCTTTAAGCTCTTTGGTGTTAAAGGTACCTTCGATGTGCTAGCAGGCGTACAAATTCAGACAGTTTTTAGTTGTGAAAGTAGATATATTATTCTCTTCTTTCTTTTCTATTGAACAAAAATAGCTTAATGGCTAGTAAATATTTAAAGAGCAACTCACCTCTTTCTTTGATATTCGTGCTTACCCATACAGTATAATGCGCATTTGAGCGCACATCAATGAGTTTTTCCGCCAGTATAATGTACAGTTCTTATCCCCACAGTTCTCCAAAACTAATTTATAGTTCGATATCCCATAACACGCACTACATTATCCCGTGCCTCCTGAACGATGACGAGTTCAGGCTGATCTAGTTTACAATGAAGCTCGTCTTCTATGGAGATGCTTATGTGCACAAGCATGCTTCATCTCCACTTCAGTATCTGCTTTAGGGTCTTCGAATATTTTCTACGAATTTTCATCACACTGCTTGCAGACTTTGGAATACAGGCCCGTATTACCTCAGAGGAAGAGGTTAGTGCTCAAGCTTTTCATAAAGATTCAATCATGCCTTTCTAAGCTTAATGCTCAATTCGTAAAACCTCAAAGTATATAGATATATATTTTTAGCGAGATTATACATTTTGATAAGTTTCTATGGCAACAAATCCTTTTTTTATTTCGTAAAATGAGATTATGTGTGCATAAATCTTTTACAACAATACATACAAACAACTTTCGCCACACACATGATATGACCCTTCAGTGTGTGTAAATATTGGGACGTTCCTTTGTGTAAATTGAGGCCATTAAATTTTATACAACAAAGTGAAATGAAAAAAGTTATATGATTTCAACTTTCATTGCAAGCGACGCATAAAGATTGATAAAATAAATAGAGATTTACTCACATGTATTGTATATGCAAGCCAAAGTGATTTCCCAGCTTAGATTGTCGAAATTGCCCAGCATCGCCTGCACTCGAGGCAACGAGCAAGAGGAAGCAAGAAATCTTTGAAAAATTTACAACACGAGGTGAAAACAGATGACAAAGTTTTCCGAAGTTCATGCAGGAAAATTAATCGACTACGGAAAATGAAACCAAAACTTGGACATAAGCACAAGCGCACGTAAACACGCACATACACGAAACTATGTGGGAATAAGTATTTAAGCAAAACTTTCGATTATTACTACACAGGAGTAATAAAGTGGTTGGCCTGAGACGTCAAAGTATATGTGAGAGTACGAGCTTGACATAAATTTTGAGCCGGAAGTAAATACTAGTGAAGAGAATGGAGTATAAGTTATCAGGAAAATCACTTATTCAAGCCTTGCAAGGCAGAAGTCGACACAGAATATTGTAGGGTTATCAATTTCGTGGTGTCAAAAGTACGGGACTGTATTTTAACACCTGTCAAACTGAACTGTAAGACACTACTCAAGCAATCGGATAAACCCTTGACTCTTGGGCACTTGGCCACCAACATTTGTCGAGTTAAGGCTGAGGTACCGCCCTATATGTGGCAAAGAGTAGTCGAAAATTACCTCATTTGGAATGCAGTTTGCGAAAATTCCCGCAGCGGTGATGAAAAAAATTTCCATAAATTTTTTTAAACCAAGCTTTCTCTCGTCAACTACGGATGTGTAGGTTTGGGTTCATGTGCTACTAACTTGAATTGGCTTCGAGTGGATTAAATCGTATACGTACACTGTATATATTGATCAAAAGCCAACCTCAACCTGATATTAAAGCGATGGATCACTAGTGATATTTTGAAGAGATTGATTGTGGATGTCATCGAAAAATACTCTAAAAGCTAAAAACTTGGTTGCTCCCAAAAAATTCCTGACAGTCTGACTTTTTATGGAACAGTGCACAAATATGCATTTTTTCTTTGGTATAGGGTGTCCCAGAATTAACCCAATATTTGTACGCATTTAATATTTAATATTCAATAAAAAATCACAATCTGAATAAAAGCTGTGTTTTCTTTTTAACTAAAACCCTGCATTAATTGTGGAACACCCTTTAAATAGGTGTCAACTAGCAGTAATTCTCGACAAGAATTTCATCTCCCATAGCAAGGGACATAATGCACTCTCTTCCATTGAACTTCATTCATTTGTTAGAGTTGTGAGTCAAGTATGACTTTGTCAGATAAAACTTTTCTTCAGTTGATGTTAGTCGATTAGCTTTGAAGTGGAGGCCAATGTTCACGCGCATCAGTGGGATTGCCGCAATTTAAGCCAGAGAGCGAAAAAAAAGATGAGCAACTTCTTTGGTTGTGTAATGCGGCATTGATGCTAAGTGAAATTAGAGCAATTTGACCTCAGTAAAGCGGGGAGTTCAATATCAATTTCAATTTCAATTTATTCAGTCATTGATTTACAAATCTTACAGACTAGAAGTACAAATTATTTAAAGACTTAAAACTATAAATGTATATTAAGAATAAAAAGCATTAAAGATAGAGCCAGAACGAGATTTCGGGAATGCGAAATCAAGATCAAGTCTTCTAAAGATTCTACTAAATTTAGAGAGTGCTCTAAAAAGAGGATATTAATTGTCATAATTGGCTTTAAATACATCTAACGAGAAAGTGTAAAGAGAGCGCAATGCACTTTGAGGAGCATTAAATCTGATTTGCTGAAGCAGCTCTGGATAGTCCACTAAGCCAAGAGATTTGAGTTTTATCAGCATACATCTAGAAGTATAAGAAGGAAGGGAGCCAGAGAAATGAATCCAAGCAAGAGCAAAGGGAATAAACCTACATTAGACGGTTTCAAGTCTAGACCAATATATAGAATAAACTGCATTCAAAATTCAACTTTGAACGAACCAAGGAATTATACAGAATTTGACGGTTGTAGGGATCTTTGAAACAGCAAAGTTGGAATAAGCTTTAGAAATAATGCTGTTGATGTGATTAATGGAGATAAATTTCACATCGAACAACACACCAAGATCCAAAATTCATTAACAAAATAGGTTATTATCAAATACATAACAAGTCGTTCTGAACACATTTGATCACTTTGAAAAAAGTAATGTTAAAACATTTTTTATATTATGGGGAAATTATTCCGAATGCGCCAATCGGCTGAATTGTTAAGATCCTTCTGTAATAGTAAAGCAACTGAAAAACAACGAATTCATTTAAATAGTTTTAAGTTATTTGCAAAGCAAATTCCAATGTTATTCATAAAAAGAGCATTTAATAATGGAACAGGAATGCTATCTTGAGGTACTCCAGAGGACATTATCAAAGGCTTTGGAAACATCGGTATAGCCGACATCAGCTTGTTATCTTTTCTTAAGAGGACCCTCCCCTGATATTGGGCAAAAATGAGGAAGAGTTTGTATTATTTTTTTGTAGGATAATGACTATTAAAATTGCTTATTATTTGAGATTTTAGAACGGCAAAAAAATTATCAAAATTCAAAATGGCGCTTTCTGCGCGAAAATCATAGCCCAACAACTTCAAGCCTACAGCCTCTTGTAGTGGATTGAAATTGAAAATCGTTGTCATTAGTTGAAGATCATAAAATTTTCTACGTATTTAATTTAGATATAGGC